AAACCTTTTTCTAGGTAGTTCACGAAAACAACATCTTTTGTTTATGTTTGGTCATCTCCGGTAAGTGGTCCTTAATTAGAATTTTGACTGATGTATAGTTTTATTTGATACTCAAGTCTTCTTCTTGATAAAACCTTATAGATTGAACCATGCGAAGAAACTGGTTCTGGAAAAAATGTCTGATCCTACGATTTATTAATTGTGTTGGCAAAGACGATGAATTTTATAATTTTATTTTTATATTATTCTGGAAATGAGAATAATTTTCTGAGTTTTCGAAGGTGAAATTTGACGTTACCCAATATAAACGCGTGTAATCTCGAAAAGGAGCAGCGGGCGAGGTTATGCAATCTCTATGACTGCTCTTCTTGTACTAGCACTGAAAATAACGTTTTAAATATTGTCTTAAGCCTTATTTAATTGTATGTTTTTTTAATTTATTGCAAAACTACTCGAGGGCTATCTGAGCTAGCCGTCCTTAATTCTGGGGTTATAGACTAGAGGGAAGGCTGCACCACCCTCCGCGAACTTTTGGGCAACTCTTTTTACCACGGCTGAAAAAGTGAGCATGTTCGATGAGGGAATTCAAAGTTGTGACCAATAGATTGTGAGTCGAATGTCCAAACCACTAAGCCATGCCAGACCCATCTTAACTCCAAAGGAAAACAATATATGTATAATTACGATAGGGCACTCGACTCGCAATCTGAGGGTCGCGGGTTCGAATCCCCCGTCCCACCAGACATGCTCGATCTTTCATCCGTGGAGGCGTTATAATGTGACGGTCAATCCCACTATTCGTTGGTAAAAGAGTAGCCCAAGAGTTGGCGGTGGGTGGTGATCACTAGCTGCCTTTCCTCTAGTCTTACACTGCTAAATTAGGGACGACTAGCGCAGATAGCCCTCGTGTAGCTTTGCGCGAAATTCAAAACAAACAAACAAGTAAACAATAATTACGATAGTGCTGGAAGATAGCAAATCCGATCGTTTCACTGACTTTCCATATAAAAAGAAAACGTTCTTCTAAATAAGATATTACTGATCGGAAGCTTGTGATCCAACCACATTTTGTAGCCTAATTTATCTAATTATTCTTAGTAATTGATAGCGTGGACGATACAGAAAAGCTAAAATGTTTCGGGACTAAATTAGAATATAAATCAACGGGGGTGTTGAGGTCATAAGTTTGAAAATATATCACATGAATAGGCATCTCTACGAGAGTTTGTTCATTCGTTTCAAGACTTCGTGGAAGACTACACGTAGTCATTCCTAATTTTTGGGGGAAAGGTGCTAGTCAACAACACCCACCATCAACTTTTGGACTACCGTTGTCTGATCGAATAGCGGGACTGGACCACCACTTTATAACATACACATAACGTCAAATTGTGGAGCTCGTTTCTTGAAGAAACAGGTCGCGAACCAAGAATCCTCGCATTCACGTCCTGGCACTCTAACCACTAGGCTAATCCCTCTACAAAGGAATGTTAATAACTTGTTATAGTTTCTCTAGGTCATAGAGTCTTATTGTACCAAAAACTTTTTAGAGCGTTGTTTTAAAACATATAAGTTTCATCCCTAAGATTAGTGCAAGTTAAAATCCTGTATAAATTCACACTTATTATTTCTTTCAATGTTTTGGTCGTTAAAACAAAAGCTTCACAAGTTGTGGGAAATATAAATTGCTTTGGGAATAAAAGTGTTAAATGTCTTTCATTAATGGTGGGTGGTTAAGGCACTCGACTCGCAATCTGAGGGTCGCGGGTTCGAATCTCCGTCACACCAAACATGCTCGCCCTTTCAGCCGTGGGGGCGTTATAATGTGACGGTCAATCCCACTACTCGTTGGTAAAAGAGTAGCCCAAGAGTTGGCGGTGGGTGGTGATGACTAACTGCCTTCCCCACTTTGCTAAATTAGGGACGGCTAGCGCAGATAGCCCTCGTGCAGCTTTGCGCGAAATTTAAAAACAAACAAAACAAACAAACATGAATGGCGATTCATTTGTTTCGAATATATGTCTGGTGACTGTCTTAAAGTTTCAAGGAAACGTGAGTTGACCCTATTCTTGGTGAGTTTAGAAGATTACAAGATTGGTAAATGTAAGATAATAGTAAAAGTCCGTAAAGGGTTGTAAAACTTTCACATAAACGTTGGTTATTTGGGAAGTAGAAGGGTGCAGGGTTGGTTTTTATTGTGTTGTTTTGCAAAAAAAAAATATAAATTGTGCTCAAAAATAAATATGAAGACCAATTTATCATTTGATCCACCACTTGTTTTCAAGTTTTAAGGGTTTCAGAGATTTCCAGCCCTCATCAGTAATCTGAAAAAAAAAACGGCATATCGAAAAAAATGTATAGTATCGTATAAACGAGCCACTTTATTCCTGTCAAGGACTGGTGGATCACTAGAGGGCTACACCTTCTTTTCCTCCATGAGACGTAACTAGAAAAAGTAGAAATTAATAGGTGGTGGATAAATTTTAGAAATTATTTTGAGTGGAGACGTTGATATGAAACTGAAAGGAAAGGGAAGTGAATCCAACTGTACGTCACGATTATGATGATGAGTTTTGGCTACTGTTTTGACATGCGCGTAATGGTGCAGGATTCTATTAAATATACATATATATATATATTGTGTTTGAGTTAATGGGTAAAAGACTAAAATTTCTTTGTTGTGAAACATGTTCTATAGTGAAAAGGTTATCTGTGACCCTTGTCACTAGATGGCTTGAGTTTTAGCTGAGTGAACAGAAGTATGACGTGGAGAATAGACGTGCTAGTTTTGAAGACATGAAAATTATTTATGCTAAATTCATTAACTTTATATAAGTAAAATATTTTACAATTTTTATGTGAAAATATTATATATTTAAACTTCGACTTTTGAAATAAACGTTAAATCCAATGTTGTTAATTCACCAATCACGAAGGACATGTTATCCCATGTTGTTAATTCACCAATCACGAAGGTCATGTCATCCCCATGTTGTTAATTCACCAATCACGAAGGTCATGTCATCCCCATGTTGTTAATTCACCAATCACGAAGGACATGTTATCCCCATGTTGTTAATTCACCAATCACGAAGGACATGTTATCCCCATGTTGTTAATTCACCAATTACGTTGGCCATGTTATCCCCATGTTGTTCTGTATATTTATGTTTTATGTTCTGTGTCACACTATACATGAATAACTATTTGTATTGTGAATCGGTGTGTCTGTTTCTACTGTCTCCCAG